CCCAACATCATGAAAGGGGAGCTTAATTCTTCATTTACTAAGGGAAAATATTCTGTAATCAGTTAATTATCTAAACCAACAGCATGCAAAAAATGGGATTCCTGTAAGCTCAAGAACATTTTAAAAGAGTGAGAGTGAATGAGGCTGAACGGTTTCAGTGACACTGAAGAAGAGCCCAAATTGTCAGTTTGACTTAGGAAAGTTGAAAGTCATGCTGTACCACAGCCACAGGAATTGCTTCTTTTTTGGTTTAGTACATTACATCAATGCTTTACCAATTGTGCTTCCCTCAGTCCTCAGCTTCTCTCCAAGTTTCTGGTTGTAAAGATGAAGCTCTGCTATCTGCTCTCCCAGCTTTGAAGAGTATCTGTAGGATCAAATAAACCAAAATGAAACTGAAACAAGTGAACAAATATTACAGGGGAAAAACCCCTCAATTAAATATGACCAAGGGTATTTTTGGCAAACATAGAACCTTAATCAATTTCACAAGCACCTAACAGGGATCAAATGACTTGATAACAGCTCTGAAGACACAGATAATACAACAAACACAGTAAATGCTCTTGCAAGAAAGGTAAAGAGAACACAAGGTGGTATAAACAAGGGCAGAAAGGGCAGGAGGATCTGTGCTCCTCCTTATCAGCCCCACTATCAGCAGAGAACAGAACATGGTATCTCCTGTTGGGCTTTACCCTCCCAAATCAGCTGAACAGCAGTTGAAAGAGTCTGAAAAGAAGCCATAGGTTTCTAGAATCAAGGCTGCCTAATGCTGAAGGCAGACAACTAAAAACCAATTAAATATTCCACAGGTATCTTAAAAAGAGTTTCAAGGATGGAAACTAATTTTTTTTTTTCCATGCCCAGAATGGAGGAAAATGATTGATTTAAAATTGCAACCAGAAGGACTAAGGTTAGACATTGGAAAATCCTTTCTAGGAATGGTGAGCTGGATTAGAATAAACTGTTTGTAGAGGCTGTGGAATTGCCATTACTGTCCCAAATAAAATAGATGGGCTGGACAAGCAGCTGCCAGAAGAGCCATAGTCATGACACTGTTCCCATAGGGAGGCCTGGAACACAGCAGTGTTTCTGAAAATCTGTTTTCAGCAACACACAACTCCTGAATTCCAGGTTCAGGTTGGCTGACAGATGAAATGCAAATTCATGTCATCTTAATCATGGCTTAAATCATGCTGGAAGATTCTACTTAGAGAAGCAGAGGTTTCAAAGACCTAAGAAGCGTGTATGGTTAAAGAAACCTGTTGGACTGGGAAAAAAAAAACTCCATTGAAAAATCTCATGAGAGAACGATGAGCCAAATTCAGCTGTGATTACATTCACTGCAGCAGCATCTCAGCACACATGCAGCAGCACACAAATGAGTAGTGACAGCCACTTCTAGTGCAGGAAAAGCAAAATATGGACAAGGAGTGTGTACACACATATATAGATACATACATACATATATTTATATATTTTAATATGTACACAGAGAAGCACAGATCTCAACAGAGAGAAGGTCTTGTCTCTGAGAGAATAAAGTGACTCTGCTCATGAAGTTTCCTGGCTGACTGTAAGACATTAAAAAAAATAAAGCCCCAAAACATAGTAAAAAGAGATGCATTCACGTACTTGTTGAGGTGCTTCATCTTTAGGTACTCCATGGCAAACATGGCTCCTCCTCCAGGCAGGTCAATCACCTTGATGGGCTGAGGCACTCTCACAATCTTGGTTTTCTGAATCGCTTCCAAACTTGCCATTTCCCCTTCAAACATTTTTCTAGCCTGTCAAGGAACAAGGATATTCTTGGGCTAAACCATAGATGTCTACAAGGAGTACTCTGGAAAAAACAGACTTTTGACAAAGTGGCAAGGAGTTAATTCCTCTTGATAAAAGGAGAAAGCTGCAGCAAGGCAGCTTCCACAGAGGAAGACTTAAGGGCCTTAACCCTAACTTCTTTTTTTTTTTTTTTTCTAAATTCATTCCAGGGTTGTAGGATATGTCACATTTTACCCTGATTTCCAGCTTCTTATAAAGACCCCAAGCTACCTGGATGCAACAGCACCTCTGAGGATAATGTGGCCACTGCTAAATGAGGTAAACATTGAACCCTTAGACTGTTGGTTTTTTTTCCCCCACAGGCCACTGGATGGAGACGACAGCACAAATATTCAGAATGCGCTCTGCATCTTTGAAGCAAAGGTGCTGTTCTTCACAGGATGAATTTTGATATTGATAAAGCAAATTTCTGATGCACTGTGATGTTAGAAAAAGCAATTGAGTATTCATTGAGTAATAGAAAAGTCAAGAGTTTAGCTTGAGAAGCTCCAAGAGTTTCTTTTAGAAATGCAAAAAGCAGTGGGGATGTTAGAAACTTCTGTAGCTTTAAAAACAATACGTGAGTTTTAGCACTGGTCCCTGTTTGTGCCCTCCCATTATCGATCCTCCCAACTGGAACATGAAAAGGAATGCAGTGAATGCAAAATCAGTTCTGGGCTTTTCCAGACTCCAAATACCACAATAACAGCTTTGTGCTTGGGCTCCTTTTTACAGGAATTACAGTTCATTCCTGCTGTTGAGGGTTATCACATTGCATTACACTGCATTTCACACTAACCAAACCTGCAACATTAATTCTGGATATAAAATAGACACAGCATAAAAAAGAATACTGAGAACTGGAATAATTATTTATTATTAACGATCAGCTGCTTTTGAAATAAAAAGCTATCTCTATGCAATCATAAGATTTGCTGGCATTGACCTGAGGTTTGTGGTTGATTTTCACAAATACCCGTCCTCTGTCTGTCTCATACGTTTGGCCTTGGCTGATGCATCCTCCTCCAGAGCTCCCCACTGCCTTCAGGAGGTTGGTGTTCAGCTCTGCCTTCAGGATCTTCTCCATGGTCATTTCCAGGCTGCTGCAGCCGCTCCTCTGCTAAACCTGCTGCGAAACAGGATTAAAGGTCTGGGTCCTTCTGCCACTGTCACTCTGCGATGAGGTAGGAAGGGCCACCCACCACAGAAAAAAAAAAAGAAAAAGAAAAGCAGTTCTAAAAATAGCTCAGCCAGAGAGAATGTTTCAAAATACTTTGCTTGTCGTAGGTTTTTATAGCTATACATGTAAAATAAAACTATTTATAAATATTTGCTAGAATAAACTGGAGAGATTAATTCTAGGAGAGGTGGGTCCTGGGGCCTCTTAGCGGTGCTGGAGCTGCTGGTATTTGTAGTTTAGAGCCGCTTTAAAGCTCCGGGATCGCCTGCGGATCCCGTTTTAGGCCAATCCACTAGAGGGAAGCTGAAGGCAGCTCCAAGAATGGCCACGGGCGCTGTACCGGGGGTATTTGGTGTGAAATCAACAGCTTCAGCCCAAAAGGATGTGATTAAATCCGCTAATCGGCCGGATGGGGTGCGGGGAGGAGGATGAGCCAGGCGGGGAGCTCGGCTGGAGCTCACGATCCCCCGCGGAAATTCCTGCCGGTGCAGGACAGTGCCCTGGGGAACGGGGAGATCCCGGCCGGGCTGCGGGACGGGACCTGCGGGCACGGCGCGGGTGAGCGGCACCCCGGGTCCCGCTGTGAGGGGAGGCTGCTCCCGGTGTGAAGGAACAGTTCCGGCAGTGATGGAACGCTGTTCCCGGTGTGAGGGGAGACTGCTCCCGGTGTGAGGGGGGCTGGTCCCGGTGTGAGGGATTGCTGTTCCCGGTGTGAGGGATAGCTGCTCCCGGTGTGAGGGCGGCTGCTCCCTGTGTGAGGGGGGCTGCTCCCGGTGTGAGGGATAGCTGTTCCCGGTGTGAGGGGGGCTTGTTCCTGCAGTGATGGGAGGCTGTTCCCGATGTGAGGGGGAGCTGGTCCTGCAGTGATAGGGGACAGTTCCCGCTGTTATGGGAACAGGTGTTCCCGCTGTGAGGGGATGCCGTTCCCGCCGGGATGGAAGGCTGCTCCCGGTGGAGGTGAAGGGAATTCCCGGTGTTACTGGGGACTGTTCCGCTGTTATGGGAACATGTTATGTTCCCTGTGTGAGGCGATGCCGTTCCCGATGCGAAGAGAGGCTGTTCCCGGTGTTATGAGGGACTTTTCCCAGTGTGAAGGGAGTCTGACACTGTTCCCCGCTCCACACAAGCGCCCGTGGCCCTCCAGACCCGAACACACGGATTCCTGTTCAATGGCAGCGCACACTCCATGTATGTACCACACTGACAAAAATGAGAGCGTGAAGTCTTATTTTAGAGCTTGCTCACCACAGAAATGGTGCTTTGGGATGAATGACACATCCAATGCCACAGACAGGACATAACATTCTGCTGCTGGATTTTCATACTACGTTTTAGTTTCTGGTGTTCACAACACCACTGATTTCACTATTTTGTGAGGTTTTATACAGGGGGTAAATACCATTAGATTTCATTCTTAATTCCATGAAATCTGGACAATGACTTAAAAGTAAAATAAAATTTTGTCTTTTTTGCAAACGATTAATCATAAAAAAATGAGTCATGGGTCTGCATATTCAGGCAGAGGTACTTAAAATGCATTAAACACAATGAATATATATTAAACACAACTGAGCACAATTAAAATGTGTTCAATACAATAAAATGTATTAAATATACTTAACAATGTATTTATCATTGTTAAATTCTACCAATAGTGCAACAAATTCTGTAGTGCTACAATTGTGCATTTGGATTCCTTGTGAAGCTCTCTCAGTAACTTTTAAGGACAAACTTCACTAAGCTAATAATGGACCTATAATTATCATGCACATGCAAAACAAGGTCTTGTCTCATTGGTGTATGTAATTAATTTGAAAAAAGGTTTTTGTATGTTTTTTAATAGTTTGGTAAATTAATTTGTAGGTTAAATACTTTTCTGTAAGTATAAATTAAATTTCATACTACTTTATGAGAAAGTTCTAGGAAAAAAATGCCACTGACACTGTGGTAAAGGAAACACAACTTGAAGAAAAATATTGCAAAAATAAATAAATCGAATGTTTCTGGAAAATCCTTTCTTCAGATTCTTTAGAAATGGTTTCTTTAACTGAGGAGGGGTGGCTTTATCTTCCTTTAGAAGAATTTGAAGAACAATATACCTGAATTAGATACCAGGAATGTGAACTCAGCCTTTAAGGCCTCTGATACAATATCCATCTATCTGCAAAATTGTTACCTGAAACGTGGAATAATAACTCAAGCCATTTTTCATGTGTGAAGGGATTGCGTGACTCCTCAGTAATAACAATCCTTTGGTGCAGCTTCATCCCAGTTTCCTATCAGTGTCTCCACTGCTGTGAGATACCACCAAGAGTCTGTGATGCTCCTCCTGGATCAGCACTGACATCCTCTGTGTGAAAATTCCAGCCAGTAAAATGCCAGAGTGGTGCGGGGACCTGGAACTATCAGCTTAAAGAAAAGTGCCGTCAGAACAAGTGTTCTCACAGCAAAAGCTCAACCAGCAAAACCCCGTGCGAGGAATGGAATTCCCATGGTTTCTGTCCCCGGGTGATGAGCAGGCTCTGCCAGCGGGGCCGCGTGTGCTGGGAGAGCTGTCGGGGTGTTGAAACTGCACCTCCACTGCGGCCGGACATGGACACAGACACGGACACGACTGCCGGCAGCTCCGAGAGGTTAAACTGAACTGGAGACACCCAGATTTCAGCAGTGCTCTGCAGCGGCCGGGTGCAGGATGAACAGTTCTGTCCCATACAACACGGCTACGCTGGCTTATGTCTCCCAAATTATACCCTTAGCCTGCTCAATCACCACTGGTTCCTTTCTTGCAGGAGGAATGCCTGGCTGCAGAGAGCATTTCTGAGGATGTGTGTCCGTCCCCAAGGCCAGAGGTCTGTTCCTCCTGGCAGCCACGATAAACGAAAGGTAAGGAGAGGCTGGAGCAGCACACCTCACTCCTGGGAACACCTGCAGCAATCCCACAAGGATTAAGTAAAGCCTGGGGCCCTCGCTGGGCAGGAGAAGCTTTTTAAAAAAGTAAAGAAGGGCTTGTTATTTCACATTACCCAGTCCCTTGGCTGCCTGAGGAAACAAAATCTCGGAAGGATGTAATGTGACTATTCTCTCTATATCTATGAGTACCCGAAGAATACTATAGCAACCGGTCTGTGCAGAGCTCCGGGGCTGAACTCAGCTGTTGTGCACTGAAAAGCTGAGGTCACCTCCCAACAGAACCGGTCACAAATCCGAGATGCGACATCAGCGGAAGGCACACAGCGAGCACGGGAAAGGAGGTGAACGCACAGAGGGGATGGGGAATGATGCTGGTGGTGTGAGCACACACAGTCTGGGCTCCAGCTCATCACAGTCATGGAATAATCCGGGTTGGAAGGGGCCTCACCAGGCTGTCGGGTCCATCATCCTGCTTGAAGTAAAATTACTTTATAAGTCCAGTTAGGGTGCTCAGGGCCTTGGATCCCGAGAACTTCCACATTTTCAAGACGTATTTGTGGTGTTGGTGGCTGGCTTTGGGGGTTGGTTTGGTTTGGGGTTTTGTCAAGTCAGGGAAATCCTGTTTTAGAGTGTTCCACCCTCAACTCCTGTGTTTTTATTAGTTTGATTTGAAAGCTTTTACCAAATAGTTCTTTGGAGCTGAGAGGGGCTCGAGCCACCCATCCTCCTCTCCGGCCTGGCGGTCAGTCCCGGTTCGTCCCGGTCACTCCCGGCGGTCACTCCCGGCGTCACTCCCGGTCCATCCCCGGCGCTCTCGCCGCCATTCCCGCGGCGCTCGACTACTCGGCGCTCCTCCCGCCGAGTATGGGCTCTGCGCTCGGCAGCGGTGCCTGGCAGGGCCGGAAGCAGCCGCCGGCCTGTCCGCCTCGGCCCGGCGGGACTCGGTCGGACTCGGTTCCGCTCAGCCCGGCTCGGGAGGGCTCGGCTCAGCTTGGCCCGGCCGGGCTCGGTCCGGCTCGGCTCGGCTTCGGCGGTCT